CGATTTTAGATTCGTGTCACTTTGATACCTCAGATGCACTGACATACTTCCTTTCTCAAATAAAGCTCTTGAAAAAACCCCAAAACACTTGCTCGACAGACACTGAACGTTGGTGTTTCGACACATTGAACTGTAGGGTCGTGTTGAGTTCGGAAGTTTCCCAAATTAGATCGATCCTGATTCGACAGGGTTCTACAGTTGAAAAATCATGACTAACGACCGCCCAAAAAATCTCTTCAAGCTTCTTTAACCATCTGCCGTAGAGGTGAGGTGAAAAGGGGTATAACGTTGCGTCCAAGATTATTGCACTTGTATAGCGACGTGCGTGTGTGTGTGTGTGTGTGTGTGTGTGTGTGTGTGTCTACTTGTACTAGTCCGGACTGATGCCGATTTATAGTGCTAGCCCACTGATATACCATGCCGCAGTTTAGCATGAATACCCCACTCAGACACAGTATACTGACTCCGAGCCGACCAGTCCTTGTTTTAGCCCCTTAATGCCGAACGCCAGACAGGGTAACAACAAGTTCCATCTTTTAACGTCCTTTGGTATGACGCGGCCGGGGATCGAACCCCGGACCTTCCGCTCTCCGGGCGGACGCTCTACCACAGTGAGACCACGGAGGCGGTCATCTGCCTTAGAATATGTAACGTGGACCAGAAGTTACATTCTTATTTGATCATAGTTACCGGTATGCCGGTAATGAGAGTATGTCTTCAACACATTTTGGACAAACTGTTGTAGAAATATTTTCTGGGAAATACGAATGATAGTTCTAAAGGTTATGTTACTAGGCGCTGTAAACTTGTTTTGAACTTGAGAGGGACTTGACAAAACTAAATAATCAGTACCTGCAGATCAAACTTGTCGGATTATCTAAGGTGCCGAATTCGCGGTGCAGAGTTATGTCCCTTAGACGTGTCAGTATCCGATGTTCATGGGCTATAATCTCGCAAATACAGCAGGTATGGAACGTACTGCACATTTTGCTTCTTTCAAATGATGTGTAAATATATGGAGATACTATAAGAACTTATAGTTTTTATTCACTATGCTGTATCATGAAGAGAAACACTTTCTTATGATAGAATGTTTGTTTTATGTATGATTATGTTAATCTCTAATATGGAAACCTTGGATACAATCAACTTCATGTCTTTCTTTTATGGCATATACGTTTTGATTCATCATTTTGGACACTTCACATTTACACCATAGCGAACATGACAACTGACGAGTGAAGTTCACAGTTGGTGGAATGTTTATGTAGAGTAGAGATGGGTCATACATTACATCTTACCTATTTAGTCAGGAAGCACCGGCCTCTATATGCAATATTCAATACAAATTCGCTAAACCAGACGATTTCGCTGTGAATTATGGCTCTTTCCGTAAGCAAAGGTGGAAAAACTACAATGTAGTTAACTCTTTTAAAATGTATATTAATACTGTACAGCTATTGCATAAGCAGAGTTGCGCCCCTTGGGTATGCCAGAAACCTATGATTGTGGGTTCGAATCCCGCTTCTCCCCGATTATGGTTCTAGGTTTGTCAGCTTGTTAGCACCATACCAGCGCTCGTGGGTTTCACTGAAGTGGTAAACGTATGAGACCTGCATCACTTCGGGTTTTCCTCCCACATTAAGCTGACACGCCGCGATATAACTGGAATACTGTTAAAAGCGGCGTTAAACCCAACAGACTCACTCACTCCGTGGAGGAGTGAATGGAACGTCTGTCGGGAGAGCAGAAGGTCGGTGATTCGATCCCTTGGTCACGTCATACCAAAAGACGTCACAATGGGTACTTGTTATTACCCTGCCTGGCACTGGGCATTAATGGCATAAAACAAGGGCTAGTAGGCTCCTATATTATATGTCTGAATGGTGTCTCCATGTTTAAACTACGGTATGGTATCTCATTTGGCTAGCACTGAATGTCCGACATAAGTTCGGACGAGTACAAGCAGCCACACACGTGCATGCACAAGGCTATGTAATTGCAATAATCTTGAAAGCGACGTTACACCTCATTTCAACCCCCCACCCATCTTCTATATTTGTAGATATTGTCTGTGTATACTGCCAAAGTGTAATAAGTTTAAGTTCAATTGACTGTTGAACTATATATGTACATACTGGTATTTGTAGTACTGACACAAGGGCGTGCAACAGGGTTGTTACAGTGTGGCTTGTATAGTACTGACACAAGGGCGTGTTACAGGATTGTTACGGTGTGGCTTGTGTAGTACTGACACAAGGGCGTGTTACAGGGTTGTTACAGTGTGGCTTGTGTAGTACTGACACAAGGGCGTGTTACAGGGTTGTTACAGTGTGGCTTGTGTAGTACAGACACAAGGGCGTGTTACAGGGTTGTTACAGTGTGGCTTGTGTAGTACTGACACAAGGGCGTGTTACAGGGTTGTAACTGCGGCTTGTGTAGTACTGAGACAAGGGCGTGTTACAGGGTTGTTACAGTGTGGCTTGTGTAGTACTGACACAAGGGCGTGTTACAGGGTTGTTACAGTGTGGCTTGTGTACTACTGACACAAGGGCGTGTTACAGGGTTGTTACAGTGTGGCTTGTGTAGTACTGACACAAGGGTGTGTTACAGGGTTGTTACAGTGTGGCTTGTGTAGTACTGACACAAGGGCGTGTTACAGGGTTGTTACAGTGTGGCTTGTATAGTACTGACACAAGGGCGTGTTACAGGATTGTTACGGTGTGGCTTGTGTAGTACTGACACAAGGGCGTGTTACAGGGTTGTTACAGTGTGGCTTGTGTAGTACTGACACAAGGGCGTGTTACAGGGTTGTTACAGTGTGGCTTGTGTAGTACAGACACATGGGCGTGTTACAGGGTTGTTACAGTGTGGCTTGTGTAGTACTGACACAAGGGCGTGTTACAGGGTTGTAACTGCGGCTTGTGTAGTACTGAGACAAGGGCGTGTTACAGGGTTGTTACAGTGTGGCTTGTGTAGTACTGACACAAGGGCGTGTTACAGGGTTGTTACAGTGTGGCTTGTGTACTACTGACACAAGGGCGTGTTACAGGGTTGTTACAGTGTGGCTTGTGTAGTACTGACACAAGGGTGTGTTACAGGGTTGTTACAGTGTGGCTTGTGTAGTACTGACACAAGGGCGTGTTACAGGGTTGTTACAGTGTGGCTTGTGTAGTACTGACACAAGGGCGTGTTACAGGGTTGTTACAGTATGGCTTGTGTAGTACTGACACATTGGCTTGTGACAGGGTTGTTACAGTGTGGCTTGTGTAGTACTGACACAAGGGCGTGTTACAGGGTTGTTACAGTGTGGCTTGTGTAGTACTGACACAAGGGCGTGTAACAGGGTTGTTACAGTGTGGCTTGTGTAGTACTGACACAAGGGCGTGTTACAGGGTTGTTACAGTGTGGCTTGTGTAGTACTGACACAAGGGCGTGTTACAGGGTTGTTACAGTTTGGCTTGTATAGTACTGACACATGGGCGTGTTACAGGGTTGTTACAGTGTGGCTTGTGTAGTACTGACACAAGGGCGTGTTACAGGGTTGTTACAGTTTGGCTTGTATAGTACTGACACAAGGGCGTGTTACAGGGTTGTTACAGTGTGGCTTGTGTAGTACTGACACAAGGGCGTGTTACAGGGTTGTTACAGTGTGGCTTGTGTAGTACTGACACATGGGCGTGTTACAGGGTTGTTACAGTGTGGCTTGTGTAGTACTGACACTGTAACAGGGTTGTTACATTCTAGTTTGTTATACCATGTACAAGTTCTCGGTTATATCACCACCTGGTAGCAATTCTGTGAATTTCGCAATAGAGACATACTATCACAATTAATATAAATATACATGTGTTTTAATACGAAAATGCGTATATTTATATCTATTGTAAGTTTTTGTTATTAATTCATTATTTCTATTTCTGGTATGTAATTGTGAGGATGACTATCACTTTACAAGCCGATACAGTCGATGATTCACATGCACCTTCCCCACTTGTACATGTACAAGGTTGGAATGTCGACATACCCATTAAACTATACGACCCGTGAAGATCCGGAATAGAGTAGGCAACCGATGCTTGCCGTAAAAGGCGACTATGCTTGTCGTAAGAGGCAACTAACGGGATCGGGTGGTCAGGCTCGCTGACTTGGTTGATGTATGCCATCCTGTACCAATTGCGTGGATCGATGTGCATGATGTCGATCACTGGATTGTTTGGTCCAGACTCGATTATTTACAGACAGCCGTCATATAGCTGGAATATTGCTGAGTGCGGCGTTAAACAACAAACAAACAAAATAAACATGAAACTATACATCTACCATTTAAACTGAAAATACAGTAAACTACGTTTATAACGAACTGGCGGATATAACAAACTGTGTTTTTGTCCCTGCCGTTTGCTGTATATATGCTGTATATATGTTTATAACGAACTAAAATTAGTGGTCCCTTTGAGTTCGTTATAACCGTAGTGTATGCTTGTTCTGGTAGTTATAGCCCCGTTAAAGTGTCGTATTTCCATGTGTAAGTTGTATTTAAAAGTGGAAAAAAACAGAAAACAATGGGAAACGAGAATTGACTTGGGACAAGCATGCATCTACAAAGTCATATCTCGTGTTACAGCCTCACATGACAGGCTAACCTTCAGCGAGATCAAACCTCACCCTTGACGAACATAAGATTATACCATTACGCCCTTGTATGCTCATAAACCCAACAGAGGTATTCATGCTGCATGACAATCACTGCATAATATCCTATTGTTAGTTTAAGCCGAACGCCTTGATACGTTGATCCATGCATTGCTGTGAATGTCATGCTGCATTTGAAACCAGCACTTATTAATGTATTTCCGTACGCGCGGTGATCTGTCAAGCATTCGCCTTGTGTGATTGTATACATTAACTGTAGTATGTGCATAATTTTGCAGTATATCAATACGCACTCGGGCGAGTTTGTCCGCCCTCCGCATGGAGGAAGTGAATAGAACACTCACCCTGTATAGGTTCAGTGCTGTGAAGGTCCGGTCCCCTTGTCACCTCTGTCACTGGGATATTCTCTGTGAACACGCGCGTCAGTCGGCTCCATGCCAAGTCATCACCCTCCCAGTTTTCACGAAAACATAAAACGCTTTCAGTCGTTAATTCCTCGGGTAGATCACTTTCTTTGAGTCCGACCGATAACGGTAGAAACTTGTAGGTCTGTCCTTGATCGAGAAGCTTCTTGAATGTCGATTGTTGGGAATACCTGCTCCAGCAATCCTTAACAAATCCCGTAGTTAGAACAACGATTGTATAGTCCGATCCCTCTACCACCCGGAACATCTCTGTGAATACATTTCTACCCGGTAAACTATCCCGGTCATGGTAGTATGTGTTCACGAAACCGAGACGCTCTAAGGTCGTCACGACCTTCCTGGCAAATGCAAGGGACAGTCGTGTGTCTGGGGTGACTGAGAGGGGACTCCGGGCGTGGTTGTAGATGACGTTGAAATGGTAGACCTTCCCATATGGTAGAGGACATCGACTCAAGCCCTCCGCCATGCTGGTCGATCCCGACCCTTGTGTTAGTCCGACTTTAGTCAGTAGTGCATATCAGCTATATACACTTGTGCGACGATAAGGAAATCCCCATTTAAACATTGAGGGTCCACACCGATGGGTGCAACAACAGTATCGTTGTTGTATTGGTCTGCTTTGTACTTTACGTAATGTAATCGTTTTATGTAGCCTTTACATTCAGCCGGTTGGGGATTTAACTCTGTGGAAGTATTTTACCTGTATTGTTACATGGTAATTCGAGGCAAAGGGCGAGGTGTAAATTTATGGGCGTTTAAAGGACAAGGTGCGCATTGGTGGGCCCACTGACAGTGTCAAATGATAAAGTAACGGTGAAATGGGGTTTAACGTCGCGTCCACGATTATTGCACTTATATAGCGACGTTCATGCACGTGTGTGTGTGTGGCTGCTTGTACTAGTCCGGACTGATGCCGATTTATAGTGCTAACCCACTGAGATACCATGCCGCAGTTTAACATGAATACCCAACTCAGACACAGTATACTGGCTCCGAGCCGACCAGTCCTTGTTTTGGCCCCTTAATGCCGAGCGCCAGACATGGTAACAACAAGTACCATCTTTTAACGTCTTTTGGTATGTCGCGGCCGGGGATTGAACTCCGGACCTTCCGCTATCCGGTCGTATGCTCTACCACTAGACCACGGAGGCAGTCCGGTAACCTCTGAAATATTTGCATGAATATAATCGTACATGTTCCGATGGTTCGTAAATAGTTTGTTTCTCCTGCAAGTTTTCGATAAAAAATATTGCTAAAATGAGTGAAAAGGGCCGCTATTTCAAACTTCATACCGAATCTAACAATGAGCAAGTCCGTGGTCCAACATGACCATTATAACATATGAATATCATAAACCTCAAGACGCCAGAGAATATTCAGTCTCCATTGGGTGTAAAAGGCAACATGGTTGTGAAAATTATATAAATGGAACACTGAAAATCAAAGGAAAAATATATCAAAAGAAACACCATGTAACCATGATTCGATAATCCGACAATGTGTTAAACCGGACACTTTCACCGATAACGTTACCGTCCAGATTAGCGAGGTCTCAATGCAGCTGTGGAATGTTAGTTAAATGTTGGAATGCGGGGTAACTTGTCAAAGAGTTTGCTCCTCGAAAACTGAGCGTGCCTGGATTTTTGGATTTTGCCCTATTGGCTATGCAGTGGTAGCCACACTGCCGTACGTACAACACCCACATCGCCACCCTCCAGAACACGTACAATCAGGTAGGGTATGAATCAATAAGTAAAACTTGCATATCCAGAGCTCCATTCATAACAGTCACGGCAATGACAGAGGCCTACAGCCAGTCTACACAGTCATTTGAAGGCGAGATATATTACACACTTTGGGCTATGTTTGTTCTACAAATTTGAAGTGAAGATAATATACCTGGTTTTTATATTATCTCAAGTATGACAGGTATTTTACAACTATACAACACTATGCTGTAGCGTGTCTTCAGGAACGTTGTTTATCATAGAAGGACAGTGTTATCGTTGCGAAAAACCAATCCGATAATTTGATATCAGGATCCGACAACCATGCAAATAAAGTCACCAAGTTCCATATTTCAATGCGATATACCTTCTTTAATAATAACATATTGACCAATATTCCTAATGTTTCAATATGGATTTCCCGAAACTTGTCTGCAAGCCATTGACACTTTATGACTAATCATGTGGTTCACTAAAAAACTGTATTCATACGGGTTTCTTAAATGTCCATTAATTCAATAATGACATTATATAATAAAGAGATTACCCTCATGTGTTTCCATATAGTAAGTGAGTGAGTATGGTTTTACGCCGCTTTTAACAATATTCCAGCTATATCACGGCGGGGGACACCAGAAATGGGCTTCACACATTGTACCCATGTCGGGATTCGAACCCGGGTCTTCAGCGTGACTAGGGGACACCATGTTCCTTTTTCCATCAATATCTTGCTTAAATAAAAAGTCATTGTATTTGCACTCTTGATATTTCAGAAATATCTCAATCTCAGAGCCTGACCATCCGATACCCACTTTAGTCGGCACTATACACTACGGTTATAACGAACTCAAAGGGACCACTAATTTTAGTTCGTTGTAACCGTAGTTCGTTATAAATATACATACAGCATACATACAACAATGGCTGGGGCCAAAAAAACAGTTCGATATATCCGCTAGTTCGTTATAAGCGTATTCGTTATAAACGTAGTTTACTGTATTTTCAGTTAAAATGGTAGGTGTATAGTTCAATGTGTGTTTTGTTTGTTTGTTGTTTAACGCCGCAGTGAACAACATTCCAACTCTATGACGGCGGTCTGTAAAGAATCGAGTCCAGACAAGACAACCCAGTGGTTGACATCATGAGCATCGACCTACGCACTTAGGATACGATGACATGCATCAACCAAGTCAGCGAGCCTGACCACCCGATCCCGTTATGCCGAGCATGGGGTACATGTACATAGGAGGTGTTCTGACTCGGGAACCCCTCAGGGGTACGTAGCTACAGGTTCCGCTACACTGAATAGGGATGACGCTGGCGTCTACGATGGATTTATTTGTGAGATGTTGATACTTTTTAAATCTAAAACCACCTGTAATTAAAAGTTACCAAGATTTTCAATACTTAAACGTGTACCGCTCATGCTGAATGTGTCCACATATATTGTCACGTAAGTGCTTTAAGGTGCATAAATGAATTTGGTGTCTTTACTTGGAAATGGTTTTTGCTCGTAACAAATGATACGACCCGTAATATATCTGTGAAATAAACTGTAAAGCTTAAATAAACTGTGTCATCCAGTGTGTGATATCGTCATCGTCTTATGTCATGTACTGTACCCTGTACCCATTGAACTACATTCAAAGTCAGGGGCGATCGGGTAGCCTAGTGGTTAAAGCGTTCGCTCGTCACGCCGAAGACCCGGGTTCGATTCCCGACATGGGTACAGTGTGTGAAGCCCATTTCTGGTGTCCCCCGCCGTGATATTGCTGGAATATTGTTAAAAGCGGCGTAACACTATACTCCCTCACTCACTGTCAAAGGCGGCGTAAAACCATACTTACTCACTCACTCACTCAGAACCTCGGCATCATCCAGGAGATCGCTCGCTATGTGTAACAAAACCAGACTGACTGACTGAGTATGGTTTTACGCCGCTTTTAGCAATATCCCAGCAATATCACGGCGGGGGACACCAGAAATGGGCTTCACACATTGTACCCATGTCGGGAATCGAACCCGGGTCTTCGGCTTGACGAGCGAACGCTTTAACCACTAGGCTACCCGACCGCCCCCTAACAAAACCAGAAGACTGTTACACATGAAATGTTCCGGAGAACAGACAGGGGAAGTAAATCATTATGTTTCAAGACGACCCGGTTGTACTTCGACGCTTGTTGCAATGATGAATACATCGTAAAATCTTGTTGTGACGAATGGGTCCTGGGTCTGAATCACAATAAAAGGGAGACTTAATAACCTGGTTAAACGAGGATAAAAAGCCGAAAACGCAATTTGTCATTGCCGTACACAGACCCTCCCTTATACTCGTGATGCTGATTTGCATGGCATCAACTGTTTTTAATGAAAATCTAAAACAACATGTATCTATCTACACTGTGTCGGCTATGTATCAAACTAGTGTCCAAAAGAAACGATACCACCTGTTTGCAACGACATAAAAGAAAAACTAAACAGTGCAGAAGTTTAGGATTGGTGTTATGCTTTTGAGAAATCCTTTCACAACATCTGTACAAAAATTTCAGTTCAATAAAATCTGTACAACCAATATGACAAGCCTTTAAAGATGGGTGGGGTCGAAAAATGAACATTTCGTTAGAGCACTGATCACAGAAACAACGGGAAATGTCACACCACACGTCTCAAAGTCAAGTCAGTAGCGGGTATGTCCACCGTGAGCATCAATACACGCCTACGGACTGATGACGTCAAACGTCTGATGACGTTGGGAGTGATGCGTTGCCATTCCTCGAGGAGACATCGTTCCAAGTCCTGGACGTTGACTGGAGGCACACGGCAACGTCGGATTTGCCGATCGAGGTGGTCCAATAAGTGCTCGATGGGATTCATGTCCGGTGAACATGCGGGCCATGGCAAAACCTGTACGTTGGCGTTGGCAAGGAAGTTCTGTGTCAATCTTGCTGTGTGTGGCCTTGCATTGTCATGTTGGAAAAGGAGTCCACGAGGCTGTTGCTGAGTAAAGGGCACCACAACAGGCCGTAGGATGTCATCAAGATAACGCTGTGCATTCAGGTTTCCACGAATTACGACAAGCATCGTTTTGACGTCACCACATATGCCACCCCAAACCATTAACCCTCCACCTCCAAACGGCCGGACCTGTTGGATACAGTTAGGCGCCAAACGTTCACCAAATCGTCGGTATACAAGCTGCCGTCCATCGTTTCTGAAGATGAGGAATCTGCTCTCATCAGAGAACATAACACGTGCCCAGTCCCGCCGTTGCCAACGTCGAACTCGCCTGGCCCAGATCAGTCTGTTGTTCCGGTGTCGAGGCGTCAGGAGCGGTCCGCGGTAGGGATGACGTGGCCGGATACCATACTGCCGTAGTCTCCTGTAGACGGTTTGACGACTGATCCTGTGTCCCAGAGCTGTAGCCGCCGTGGACGTCGCTGTTACGGTGCGGTTCCTCAGGTGTAATACCCGGATGTAACGATCTTCACGGGGCGTGGTTACTCGTGGTCTTCCACTCCTGGGCCTGTCTGACGTCTGACCTGTCTGACGTAACCGCTGCATCAACCTGGTGATAGTGATGCGTGCGCAGCCCAACCTTCTGGCGACGTCGACGTGTGACGCTCCTTGTTGGACCATTCCAACGGCTCTCTCTCTCTCGATGGCTGTCAAACGTGGCATATCTTGTGTTCTTTTTGTTGCTGTGATATCAACGTGTCTGATCAGCCGTTTTATACAGTTTTTCTGCACGTGCAGAACATGCTAGAGAGGGAAATGTCACTTTCACGAAATTTACGTTTTTTCCCCGAA